TCGGTGAATATGAATGATGAGAAATGAGTATATTGGAATGAAAGTAATATGCATGCTATAAAATATATATTATGGGATATATATACTATAGGGTGAATATGAATGATGAGAAATGTGTATGGTTGGATGAAAGGAATATGCATGCTATAGAATATATATTATGAGATATATATATTATAGAGTGAATATGAATAACCTGGAAATGGAAGGAAGGAGATACTAATGTTTATATTTATGTGCTTGTGATGATAAATTATTTCAATGTTTATTTATACTTAAAATGTGGATTATCATGTAATGTTAGTCTTGAACTAATGACTTACTCCCTTATATTTGTGTGTTGTTTATGATAATCTCATTGTAGGTAAACGAAGGATTTTGAGGAGAAGGCTCATTTAGGAATTTTATGCGTTTCCTAACTTGAATTTATTTATCTATACTTTGGTATTATAGTTGACTAAACAATATTTTGGGATGAATGTAATTCTGATTATGGTAACACTGGATATGTGTAGTTATGGGCATTGTGATTCTTGGAAACCCATAACTAATTGTATGCGGTAGTTACTAAGGATTAATTGAATGAATTATGTTTTTCTGCAATATGAAGTGTATGGTAATATAACATGTTAAAAAGTGTTTTACAGAATAATTAATGAGGGATTAAAGTAAGATGATGAATGTATGCATGAAAGGATTAAAATAAAGGAAAAATTTTCAAGGGTAGAATTTGGGTCCTTACAACTTTTCTGGAAATTGGATCTCATAACTTGAACCTCTTCACACCTTTGCTATATCCAATGAAGATACACATCTTTGACTTGAGATCAAGTGTAGATCGTTCATCACTAGGTACACTTCTGTAAGAGTTCAATTCATCCTCTCTGTAACACTATTCTGTTGAGGAGTCTTCTTCACTAAAAAGTACCTCTAAATGCCATGTTCCTCATATAACATCTGAAACTGTGAGTCCTTGTATTCCATACCATTGTCTGACCTCAAGTATTTGATTTTTATACCAGTCTGATTCTCTATCTTTGCCTTCCAAACCTTGAACTTGATAAAGACTTCTGACTTATGCTTAAGAAAATATACCCACACCTTCCAAGAAAAGTCATCAACGAAGGTAACAAAATACCTAGAACCTCCTAGGGATGGTTCCTGAGTGGGTTCCCATACATCATTGTGGACATCATCTAGAATGTCTCAACAGTCCTCTTTTTCATAGTTATGTCATGCCACGCACACTAATATGACCTAAACGCATGTGCCATAATTTTATTGCATCATAGTCTGAATCGACTGAAATCTCTTCAATCACTCCAACAACTCCACCTACAATTATTCTCCCTAACACCTTGTAGGTGTTCCTAGCAGTCCTTTTATAATTCATCACAGTCATAGAACCTTTGCATACTCGAAGAATATCACTGTGTCTGTCAGATCTATAACTAAATCCTTTTGCCTGAAATGTCCCAAAAGAAATCAAATTCTTCTTTAAATCTGGTATGTGTTTAACCTAACATAAAGTCTTCACTACATCATCATCCACCACAATTATGATTTGTCACATGCCAATAATTTCACATGCTTTATTATTTCTGAGATACATGAAACAATTGCTTGCCCTGTATGTGGTGAACCATTCTCTGTTTGGTGTCATGCGATGGAAACAACTAGTGTCAAGTATCCATTCATCTGCACTAGGATTTGATGATAGAGATAATATATCACCTTCACTGTTGTAACCAGAGTCATCTTTATGTGCAACATTTGCATATTTAAATATTTCATCTTTCCCCATCGACTTGTTAGGACTTCATTCATTGGGACAATCCCTTTTGTAATGTCCAATTTATTTGAACTAAAAGCACTCTACTGGTGTTCTGCCCCTGGAATTTGTTCTTTTCCCTTTGGTAGGACCTCATCTGCCTTGTCTTTTCCCATGTGCTTGGCTCCCTTTCACATACAGACCATCACCCTAAGACCCGTTTCCTACATTTTGTCTTCTTTGGGTGTGGGGCAGAAATGCAGATGTGATCTCATCCAGTTTGATTGAGTCTTTTTTGTATGTCAATATTGTCACCAAGTGTTCATAGGAATTTGGCAAAGAACATAGTAATATTATTACTTTGTCCTCATCATCAACCTTCACATCAAGTTTCTGCAAGTTATTGATCACTTGATTAAAAGTGTTGAGATGTTGTTGCAAATCAGTATCCTCCTGCATCTTCAGGCCATATAGTATCTGTTTCAAATAAAGCTTATTTGTTAGAGACTTGAAAATGATACATCACCTCATCTGATAGACAGAGTCGTATGGTTCATGATGCCTTCTCCTTCAACTCTTCCCAATCTAGTTGGTCCATACCATCTGATTTATTCTCACGCAGCGCCTTTGATAGACCTTTTTGAGCCATCAGATCCTTAACCATCCTTTGCCACAATCCGAAATTACCAGTTCCATCGAACTTCCCCACCTCGAATTTGGCACCTAGGTTAATAGACATATGATACCAATTGTTGGACCAGACTGCGACTGGGGAGCCTCCAGCCACTAGGGAGTTCAATTGTTACCAGGGTATGGGAAGAGTGTAGACCCATTAGTGAGACACCACGTCTTGAACGAAAACCTTTAGACATTAGTTCCATGGACATTTTTCACTTATAAACTATTTCACTCATTCCCTCATATCCAATGTGGGACTTCACACTTGAATAAACCCAACAACCTTCCCTCATGTGTGGGTACCGCACACTTTCCGGCCCGCTCCCCTTCAGTCTACCATGTCCCAGCCGAACCATCAGCTCTGATACCACTTGTTGGACCAGACTGCGACCGAGGAGCCTCCAACCACCAGGGAGTTCCATTGTTACCGGAGTATGGGAAGAGTGGAGAGCTATAAGTGAGACACCACATATTGAACCAAAACCTTAAGGCATTAGTTTTATGAGTCTTTTTCACTTATAAACTCTTTCATTCCTCATCTCATATCCAATATGGGACTTCACACTTAAATAAACCCAACAATCTTTGCCTCAAGTGTGGGTACCACACACTTTCCGGTCTGCTCTCCCTTAAGTCCACCATGTCCTAGCCAAACAATCGGTTTTGATGCCACTTGTTGGGAACAAGCGATCAATCAAATAGTAAAAGAAAAGAGAAGATAATAACACAAGGAATTTGGTAACGAAGTTCAGCTAATTGTGCCTACGTCCTTGGGAGCTTTGAGAGGCTACCACTATGTATTAGAGAATAAGGTTTGTGTTTAGTTATTGTTCTCCTTGTTACATTAGGTTTACATAACATAAATATATATAGTCATCTACCCCAACTTTTACATCATCCCAAGTCCATAACTTTATTATTGTTATGATTAGAAGAGACCTGATCCATTAAATATAACCTATTGCACAACAGTTATGAATGAATTTTTAATTGACTTTAGACATGACTCTAACTCTTGAATCCATATGAAATTGTAAAAAATCTTTTCTAGGTTTATACGGAAGTGTAGGTATGAACTGGTATTTTTGTATGGTTTCATACGGAAATGTAAGTATGAATTGGTATGTGAGCGTATAAAAATCTTTCGTGTGATTTTATAGTGATGTGCAAAAAATTTGTAGAAAAATATACTTTTTATGGTTTTATTCGAAAGTTTATTTTTTGTGGTATAATTTTATATGTGGAAGTGTGCTTTTTTTCCCTCGTATATTGGATAAGGAAACCCTTTGAATTAAATCATAGCTTACATAAAAAGTAAACAACATTAAGCCTCGTATAGTCCAATTCATCTCTTTATTTCATTTAAAAATATAATAATGTGAATCCTATTCTATAACAAGATCATCTGAAAGAGAAAGATAGGCAAAAACTTTAGTATGCAAGGCAAGCCCACTATATAATATAGTATATAGTTCCCATGTATTTTAATCACAAGTGACAATAACAAGCAAAAGCTAGCACAAGGTGGGTATCTCTTCAATTTGAAACTATTTAGTTTGTGCATTACATCTCTAACAAAAAAGTCCACATACTCAAAACAATTTCAATGTAAAAAGAACAAAACGAAACAGAAGCTTGAAAATCTACAACAAAACCGGGCATGCATAAGTGATTAAATGGAAATCCACACAATAACTAGTGGAGAATGCATAAGTGATTATAAAAAAACAAAATTGCTTCTCTTCATTTTGTCTTGTTCCAAAGGCTTCCTTTCAAGTGATAATGTGATATCATCATTGATCTCCCAACCAATATAAGTAAAAAATGTTAAGCAATTATTCAACGAACAACAATTTACAGTGCAAAATCATTAGTGACTCATATACCACTTTGGTCATTTTCAATAATAAAACCATATGCAATTTAAGTGAGGCAAGCTTATTAGTGCTTTATTGAGAATGCCACATTTTTGTTGGCACCACTTAAGACAATTAAATTAATCATATGTTTTCGTTTCTCTCATGGTTCTTCCATGATGATTTTTATGCAACAACATATTGATTTTTTTTCACATCAAAGTGGGGTAAGAGAGTGGGAAACCTACGAGTTAGAATGTGATTCTTGCTCCAATATTTTGATCAGCATAGATAATTAATATATCACATTCTTCATTATGACACACTAAAATAGTAATGTAAATGTTTATCATCCAAAATATCTATAAAAACATGCCAAAATTCCAATCATAAATTTTTGTATCACCTAGTGTAACACTAGGTCCTAACAAATAACAATATGACACATAGGTGTTGAAAATAACTTAATTTTATACGGCCAAAACAATTTCTACATTTCAAGCCACTCACTCAAGTACCCTTAAAGTTTATCAATGTCTATCCATCTAAATCTTTGACTTTATAATATAGATTATGCTAATGTTGAAGAATGAACATAAAAAAAATTAAAATGACAATGATGCTAATAGTACTACTCACCTTCAATATGGAGCATAAACATTTTGAACATTTTCCCAATGCTATTTTAAGGTGTTGCTATCAAAATGGGGAAGAAGGGCACATGAAGTACTAACTGCACCTAACTATGAATCTCTAATTCTTTTTTGGTTTTTGAAATGAAACACGAAACAAATATATGATTCATAAGAGTTAGTATTGCACGTGCCCTGCTTCTCCATCTTGTTCAGCATGCACCCTTGTCATGTTATTGGCCTCTCAAGAGAAAAGAAGCTATAGAAGAGTATAGAGAAAGATAAGAAAAAACTTGTTGAAGAAGAGTGTATTTATTTTTGGACTCCAATGTGTATATATATTAGGTGCTTCAAGACTACTCATCTATATAACAAAAAAGGCATATGAGTGTGTTTTTATAGGGTGGGAATGGGATGGGAGCAATTGAAATTAAAGGCTTAGTTGAGTGTGGGACCCTTTGATTTTTAACCTAAACACCTTGTCACAAGTCACAACAAATAGGACCACTTAGTCATCAATGAGCATATACATAATGAATTACTCATATACCCTATGTTGTACTCCAAATATAGGGAAGCAACTTAATTTTCATACACCCCTCAATATACCAATGAAATCTGATTTATGTTGATACCACCTGAATCAGAACTTGACATTAAATATTTTATTATTATACCCATATTGAGCATGTTGCTTTGCACAAGGAGAAAAAACACTAAAAATGCAAACTGGTGCTATAAATGTATATCCATTATACCTAGAATCCAAGGAAGAGTAAGACAACTGAATATATGAGCTTTTAGTTTACAGCCTTATATTGCATTTGCAAAAGGCTAATTGCATAACTATAGATTTCATCAAATTTATTTGAGAACAACTTTAGCCATTGTACTAAGACTTGTGGACAAAGAAGAAATATGAATTACATGATTAAATTTATAATTTAGATTCATCAAATTACATCAAAACCAAACAATTTTAAATTAATGAGGTTGAGGAAAATATGCATACACACTAAATAAAAAAGAGAGTAAAGAATTAGAAGAACTAGTTTGAATGTTACTTATGGAGAAGAATTAGAAGAACTAGTTTCATGTAATCGAAAGAAGTTTCATAAAAATAATAAAAGACTGTTTAAATTTGAGATTATTATTATTATTAATGTAAAACAGGCTAAAGTGCAATCTTTGAAAAAGGGGCAGATCAACAATGTTCTACTGGGTCGTCAATCCTATTTGTACCACAACTTTGTCTACCTTTCTTACCTTAACTAATCATCTCTCCTTGTAATTTTTTACTTCTTAGTTTTGTCCGAGTTTTGTAATATTTTGTATATTTAAGGATATCTTTAATAATAAAAAAATTTACCTATAAAAAAGAGAAGGTGTGCTTAAATTAATATTTTAAAGAACTTTTTTTACGGAATATATTGTAAAAGACCACAATATCTTTGAAGAATATGCTTATCATTGAGAAGTGGAAAGAATATGAACTTTTATTTTGAACATGGTTGTTAGCAAATTATTTTCATGTCCACAAATTAAGATGGCTGCTTGCCAAATAACATGCTCCAATTGTGTGTCATAATCAGAAATGTTGTTGTCTGAAGTTTAGAGACAATTTGGTGTTTCAAAAATTACTATAAGTGAGAAGAAGAAGAAAAAAAGTCATAAGGGTTGAGTGTAACTTCCCTCCTAAGAAAAACAAAACATGGTGATCGCTTCATTCAAATGCAATAATGTTGAAAATTTAACAACCAAACACAAAAATATTTTGCATTAATGTTCCACCAACTATGTATGCAAGTGACATTGGTTGTGTACAAAGAACTGCATATACCTCTTAAAAATTTATAACTAGGTAATTTGGTCCACGTACGTTTAGCAATTAGGGTTTTGTTAATTCATGTTTTGATCCTTTGTTTCTCATTCTTGTGAATGAAAGTTGATGTGCTTTTTCACCCAAATCTTTGAAAAAAGGTTCTAAAACATATAGGACCCTTTGCATTTTCTAAAAAATATAGGGATTTTATTTGAATTTAACAACAACAAAAAGTTCCGAGAGTGGATAAATGGCCTAATGAAATAGTCATGGAAACTTAATGGATGCTTTAATAAAATGAATAGAGGACCCAATTACAAAATTTTACTTACTCAAATTTCCCTAACAAATACATGAACGTATATATAGAGTAACTAAACATATATATAAACTTTTACTTAATAAAATGTATACAACCCATGCCAACTTTCTGAATTTTCTAAGGTTATAAAGAGATGCCTATCATAATCATAATCCGCATTAGATGTATTTTTCCACAATTGTTGTAATCTAATAGATGATCAAGGGAATCTAAAGTTAAGCTCCTACAATTAAGTTGAGCTCTTTTTTCTATTATCTTTTATTTGCTAAGTTGTAAGGGGTCCTTTTTCTTTTTTATCTATTTGGAGGGTTGTACCTTTTGAGAGGGTTTGTTATCAAATTTCTTATATTCCTTTTCTTTTTAGAAAAAAACAAACAAATTAAAACAGGAACCAGCAATGCCTTATCTGAAGAAACCTATGGTCTAGAAAGAAGACAGAGAGATGAATAGCCATGTAGAAAAAATATGAGACACATATATGTGCTTTGTGATTTGTGATAGGTTCTAGACAATGGATTAATTAGAAAATAGTTTGTGCTAGTCCATAACAATATGCCTAATATTTTTTTTTATCCACAAAGATAATTTTATTAAAAAGAAATAATAGTTACTAGAAAGAAAAAGAAGAAAGGATTACAAAGAGATATTGCGACAAGTGGTGGGATTAGCTATCCATTTGGGATACAGAGTTAAGTCTATCCCCTACTCACCCTTGATCCATAACCACAATTTCACCCTTGCTGAATCGAAAATTTGTTGAAGAGAGGGCTTGATTGAATTGATGATTAAATCATTTCTAGATAACCAGATTGCCCAAATTGTAGCTAACCATATAACACTCCAAACTTTCCAACGTTTCCTATCTTTCACCATACCCATTTGATTTAAAAAGTGGTGAGTTGGAATAATAGGCAAAACAACACTGATGTCCTACCGTTTGTAAATGAGTTATCAGGCGGAGTAGGTGAGATTGCATGAAGAGAAAAGGTGGTGAGTGGATTTCGGGAGATCGTTGCATAAAAAGCATAAAATTCCTCCAACATGGGTAGATATATGTTAAGATTGTGTTCTTCAACAAAGATCCTCTCCATCAGTAGAAAGAAAAATATATGTTTTCCCGTTATTTTTAATGACAAAGTGTAATTTTATTATAATCAAAAGGATAAATGTGTTATTAAAAATTGTATTTATCTTTTTTTAAGCAATTGTCTCTATATTAATCGAGAGCATCAACAAATATTTTTCCCTTTCTTTTAGCTTCAAGAAAGATCCATTGCAAGCGTGAAAGGCATGGGTGGTGGGACATGTTTTTCCCATAATATTTTTTAGGGCGTGCTATGTGTAAAGATAAAGATTAGTGGGATGTGGATGAGTGTATTTTTTAAGGAAGAGTGTGTGAAATATGATATATATAATTGAGCAGTGATCATTTCCATTAATGGAGAGACAAATAGTATTTTTATACTAGTTTAAAGGATGAAAATGTCATTACATGTATAAATAGAATAACATAATTGTCTTTTCATTTTTCTTTTTACCTTATTTTACACATTACTTATCTCTCCATTAATGGATAGGATATCTATCGAGTTGTAAGACCTACATTCTTAAATATTCAGAGCATTAAGATCATTCGTTAGCTCTGAAATCCAACTCAGCTAAACATAAAAATAATATTTGACTCTCCATTAGTGGAGACTCCAATTGATTACTCCTCTCATTACTAAATGATTTTAAGATATAACCTTAACAATTTGGTTTAAAATCTGACTAAGAAAACAAACCGATACATTCCATATGTATATATGTATATCTATAATGAACTACCTTTTGGGCTGTATGGTCCAAACTGTCGTATGATTAATTATACATGCTTGTTGTTGGAGGCACCTCTTTGATCTGGCATTCCACTCTGCTAGGACCATGGATAATGATGTGAGTAGTAGAAGACAATATTAATTAAATATATTATAATATAAAAGAGTGGGAATATATGAAAAGAAAGATACATTTTGTAAGCCTTTTTAGGATTTACTAATATAATATTCACATACGTCAATTTTTGTAATCAACACTTGTGGACATACATCGCATTCTTAAAGAAATAGTTAATTAGCTAACAAATGAAGTTAGTGGTTTATGTGTTGTATATCATCGAAATGGGGGTTGGACAAAGAAGTGGGTAAGGTGTCATTTCACTGTTTTAATGGGCATAACACTTGCAAGCACAAATGTTTAATAATTGAGCCAAAGTTGGGGAATGAACAATTAAGACCTAATTTCACATAATCTTTCATGTAATATAAATTTATGAGTATATATATTTACTGTCAGTATAAAGGTTTATACATAAAGATAAGTAGTTCAACATATATTTAAATCATTCTCAAGACAATGAGGGAATGCGATGTGAGACTTACTTCCCAACATGTCCCTCCACATAAGTCTGTCGAAAGGTTGCCTTTGACCCATAACTAAATGACATCTTTTTGGTTCATGACAACCGGAAAGAAGTTGAGTTCTGACTTTGATACTATGTTATGGTTTCATCTCAAAACCAATTGGCGATGAGAGAAGTAGTCCAACATATATTTAAAACATTCCCTAGACAATGAGATAAGCGATGTAAGACTTACTTCCCAACAATATTTTCTCCGAAGGTTTTAAATAAAAAACTATGAGTTAGCACTCGACACCTGTATTATTAGAGCATGGTGTAATTATTTACAACCTGATCAAGCTGGCCCATTTAAGCTGAATTGATAACCAGATTTAATATTCATCTAAACCGGTGTGAATCTATAAAAAAAACTTGTTAAATTGATATCAGTTTTAATATCAAACTAATTTTAATTAAACCTAAGACCTGATGTATATGGCAAGTAGAAATCACTACATCACAATATTTTAGTAACAAAAATTCTATTATGATCAAACATATTCTAGTAATAATATTTATTTTTTTATGGACAAATGTTAGTATATTAATATTTGATGAGTGTAAGACTCGAACTGTCACCCTCATTCACTTCAACTCTTCATCAAACCATCTTATAACTCTCATTTTTATTT